CCCCCCGGGGTGGCCCCCAGAGGCGAGGACCGTCCCTGGGGTCGCCCCGTGTCCCTGCAGTCGTTCCCAGGGAGGTGCCACGTCCCCGTCCCCCCGCCCAGGATGGCCCCGTGTCCCCACAGCGAGCACCGGGACTGTCCCCAGGGAGGTGCCAGGCTCCGTGTCCCACCCTGGGGCTGCCGCGTGTCCCGGGGCTGTCCCCGTCCCCTACCGTGCTGCGTCCCCAGCAGGCGGGTTTAGACCTCCAGACCTCCTTGACCACGATGGGGTTGAGCTTGATGAGTTTGGGCAGCGCCTGGATCACCTCTTTCTGCACCCGAAACGGCAGCGCTCAGTGGGGGGACGAGAGGGGAGGGGACACGGACGGAGGGGACACGGACAGAGGGGACACGGACACCTTCTCCAGCCCGTTGAGGACGGGGATGAGGAACCTCACGTCCGGCAGCCGCTTGTGATAGAGATCGCGGACCCTCTTCACCAGCTCGGGCGAGGGGGGCACTGCCGGGAGGGGGTGGCACGTCACCACGGGGCACGTGCCCCCCCCTCGCGTCCCCCCCGTCCCCTACCTTTGTCCGTCAAGCTGTGCAGGCAGCGTGTCACCAGCGTCTCGGCTCCCTTGGGGCAGTTCTCCACCAGCAGCAGCAGTTCGGGCGAGTTCATCCCCATCCCCCGGATCTACGGGAGAGCCACCGCCGGCGTCACCGGGCCACCGGGCCCCCTCAACGCCCCCCCCTCCGTCGCGGGTCTCACCGGCTGCTCGATGACCCGCAGGACGGTGCGCTTGATGTCGGCGATGGCCTCGGTGTAGACAGAGGCCAGCTCGTGGATGAGCTTGTGGTTGTGGGGCAGCAGCGCCAGGTAGAGGTAGAGGCACTGCTTGATGGTCTCCTCCGTCCACGGCGCCGCCACCTCTGCGTCACGCACGGCGTCACCGGAGCCCCGGGGACCCTCCCCGAGCAGGCGCCGCCCCGTCCCCAAAACTCACCCGTGTCCTTGTCGGCCCCGAAGAGGACGGAGGGTGGGTTGGGGTGCACCAGGAGCTGCAGGTAGTTGAGGGCGAACTTCTCCACGTACTCCCGCAGCTGGTCCTTCTCGTACATGCGCTTGATGAAGAGCAGGGCCTGCTGGCGGACCTGCGGGGCGGCCCCGTGTCACCGGTGTGGGGACGGGGGCGTCCCCCTGGGGCGCCGGCGGCCGAGCCCCGCGCCGGTACCTTGTCCTTCTCGTGGGAGCTGAGGTCCAGCAGGACTTGGAGGTACTGGAACTGCCGCGA